ACTGCGAAGTGTAGCGGCTAAAAGAGCGCGATGCTGCTCGTATCTCCGACGGGCTCGCGCGTGGGAAACAATCTCGATTCGGTATCCAGGCCGACAGCGGAGACATACTGGCATTCCAGAACTCGCCTAGCTTGATGGTCTCGGAGGCCAAAAGGCTCTGGGGGTCCGATGTGAAGATCCCTGGGGAGCGCTCAACGATAGTGGGCTGCCACTTTCTCTGAACCTTCGTGAGCCTATGCATGAGTCTCGCAGAGCCTGCAAGCGACTTATCCTGCCATGCGTCCCAAGAGTCGCGTGAAAGTTTGTCGCCATTGTTGATGGCCTCTTCATAGTCGGCCTGGATATCTTCCAAAAACTGGGTGGCTCGATCGCGCCACGACTGCTCCGAGGGTCGGTCTGCGCTCCATGCTATCGCTATCTCGCGCATGGCACGCAAGGTGGCGTCTAGCCTTGGATTCAAACCTTCGCCTGGGCAGGAGTGTTGCAGCACAACCTGGAGGTGCTGGCAAGCATACAGGTCGCAATCCTCGGCGGCGACCGAATTAAACATCTCAGTGAACGTCTGAAAAACCCATTTCCAACCTGCGATAACCTGGAGTGTATCATCTGGGTTCTTCGGGCGGTAGAAAACTGAAACCCAAGAGGCCTTGATCGTTCTGCTCCTTTCTCCTAAATCTTTGGCCTCCGTGCCTAAAACTCTGTGCAGCTCCACCTCGGCACAGTCGACGAAGTGACCCCAGGCATTCGACAGCACTGCCCAGGCTTCTGTCGCAGCAGCATGCATACTGGTGGCGATCGCGTGCGCCGCGTGCATCATGGCACCGCTCCACTCGACAGGTGACGGAGACGGTCCGAAAGGCGGATCGACTGGCAGACGTTGGTGAGTGCGGTATACAAGCTGCTTTAAACGGAGTGTGTCACCTCGGAACTCAACGCGAACAGGACGGTGAGGTTTTACTTCCCAGGAGGTGTCCGCCGATACCAGGGTAACCAGATGGGCGATCCCAGGACCCATCACAAAATAGTCAATCACACTGTTCGAAGTCGGGGGGCGACAGGTGAACGCCCGCGGTGACAGGATGAGCATACCTAGCTTCCGAGGGAATCCAGATGCTTCCAGGACCTCAGGACTCATATTCCAATCTCCTCCCAAGATCGTGTGCGTCGGGTCGGTGATCGACTGACCTATCGACTTCAAAATCCCCAGGTTGGCCTCGCTAAGGCCCTCAGCGGACCGCATATAAACCGAGTAAAGCGACAAAACCGGCCACCCAGGGAACTCAATCAAGACCTTGACGACTCTGTGGGCACATATGCACCCGTTGCCTTCAGCGGGCCATCGAAGTCCCACTGCTAGTCGTGCGAATACTGCTACTCCCGATGATAACTTCCCAGACTCAGCATTGATGCGAGCAGGAAGAATGAGAGAGTGCCAGCCGAGCGAGCGAGCTGCAGCTGTGGCCTGACCGACGAACTCCTCGCTGATGCCAACCTCTTGGGCACACAGCACGACAGCGTCCGTCTCGGCCAACCGTCGGCGCAGAGTGCGCCAGCATGAGCCGTTGAACGACTCCAAAAAATACTTGCGAACGTCACTATCTGTCGGTGATCTATCGGGCGCCCCCTTCAGCGGGGGAACTGGAACACCTGAGGTGGATATTGGAACCCCTGAGAGCAAAGGTACTGCTAAGCCCAACATAGTGTCACCCACACTTTTGCTTCTTAGCTTTGACCCCCATCTCTCGAAGGAGATTGGCGAAAACTTCGGCATGATCCTCCTCCTCTTTCCGTGCGGCCGAAAGAAGTAGCTGAATCTTTTCTCCTTCCAAATCCTCCAAGTCCATATCTTCAGGGACGGGTATGCTTTGGTGGGAAGCCCCTCCTCCCTCAGTGGCGGGGGAAGGTGGGGCAGTGGGAGTAGCAGGTACAGGTCCCGAGGCCTCCTGCTTGACCTTGTGCTGCGCCCGCAGCAGCTCCTGGAACTTGATGAAACACGGCGAGGCGACCATCTGCTGCACCTCATCGGGGGCGGAGGCGAGGATGTCAGGGTGAAGCTCAAACTTGGGCTCCGTGGACGGGTCCTGTGACGGGGCCACCTCCTGCACCATGCTGCGCAGCTCCACCTGGTACGCCGAGATCTCGACCTGTGTGGCCCTGATCTTCTCGCGCTGCTGTTGAAGGCGCTCCTGAGCCTCCTTGACAGCCTTCTCCTGCTCGACCATCTCCTCCTGCAGCTTGGACAACTTCTGCTGGGAGCGCGCCAACTTGTGGCCGAGGGTGTTGTGCCTGGTGACGGCAGGCTTGCGCTCCATGATCGACTTGCGCACAGCCAGCAGCTCAGACTCCATCTGCGACTGCACCGCTGAGTCGCCGAGGGCCGTGCACTTCTTGATTGCGCCGAGGGCCTCCTCAAGGGCGTCGGCCTTGGCGCGGATGGCTGCGAGCTCGGCATCGCCGTCGGCGGCGTCGTCGCCGCCAGGGCCGGCAGCCGCAGGGGGCTTGCGGCCGCCCGCATCACCTCCCGCACCGCGTTGGCCTCCACCTCCATTGGATGTGAGGGCGGCCACCTGCTTGGTGAGGGCCTCCAGCTGCTTCTCCAACTTCGACGAGGACGAAGGAGGTCCGCCGGCCCATGCACCGCGAGGACGAGCGCCACCATCACGAGGGGCAGGCACAGGACCTTGCGCTCTGGCCTTGGCCGCCGCCGACTTGGCGCGCTGCGTGATCGCCTGGGGCGCTGGCTTGCCGCAGGCGCAGCGGATGCGGGACGCCCAGTTCTGGTTGCGCCCGCAGCCAGGGCATCCCCAGGTGGGGAAGCGCGGACCAGCGAGCACGTCATCGACATCGCGTCCCATGGGAGGGCTGCCTCCGTCTGAGACGCAAGATTGCTCCCACAGGAGCTCACTGAAAGCGTGAGGGTTGAGATCCCTCGAACTGAAGGGAAACAAGCCACAATGACTCGCGAGAGCGACTGCCGCTCTGAAGACTGCTCTCGCAAGCCCAGAAAAATCTGGGCCAGAACGGCTTGAGGGAGGAGGAGGAGGAGGTGTGGAGGAGGAGGAGGAGCAGGAGGAGGAGGAGGAGGAGGACGAGGAGGAGGAGGAGGCGGAGGAGGAGGAGCAGGAGGACGAGGAGGAGGAGGAAGACGACGGCGACGACCACGACGACGACGACGAATGGAAGGAGTAGCGCCGGCGGTCTCGGGGGAGGCGCGCCCGCCTCCCAGGGGAGGAGAGCGCGCCGAGGAGGCCTCCTCGGGGGTGGCCAGGGGAGAGCGCCCTCGGCGGGCGCGGCAGCAGGAGTGCCACAGATAGCACGGAGAGAGCGCGGGAGAAAGAGATAAAACAGGGCTAAGATCGGGATAAATCGCTCCAGAGCGTTCCGGAGCGCTCTCAGAGCGTTCCGGAACGCTCTGGAGCGGCCGCGGCGCCCAATACATCCTCCAAACCCGCCGATTCTCAGAGATTTCGAGTTATCCCGATCCGATTTTGTCCCGATCTTCGCGTCGTTTTAAGAGAGCGAGGGAGAAAGACAGACAGACAGACAGACAGACAGACAGACAGACAGACAGACAGACAGACAGACAGAGACGGACGGACAGAGACAGAGACAGAGGCAGAGAGAGAGACAGAGAGGAAGGCAAAGGCGGTGAGGATCACAGTCTCTTTCTTCTTCATGCCGCTCACTGGGCAACAGCGAAGGGCATGCCAGAAGGACCATCAAACAGGAGCGAAGCAAATGTTTGGCCCCAGCTGCGCCCGTAGCTACGAGAAAACAAAGAAAAACATAGAGGACGTTCGGAATTCCGACCCCCTCCCGAAACTGAAGTGCTAAATATTCTAAGGCTTTGACTGCACGCGTATACAAATATGCTACAAATACGCTTGCACATCATAACACCTTGTTTCGGCGATACCTGACATTTAGCGCGTACACACTATGCATCAGAAGTGGTTTTATAGCGAACCAGACATAGCTAACTATTGCGCCTTGTGGGGTGGAACACATGTAGTGCAAAATCACGTGGCAAACTCATGTGGCGCGATCTGTGCAGCATCGTAATGTTGGAGCAACCGACGATGTGGTGCAAGGTGCAGCAGGCGTGCTGCAGAATGCATGGCGCAGTCTGCGGGGTTCAAGCCGGATGATGGCATGGACGCGGTGTCAAATCGAAGGCGGTCGCGAGGTCGAACTGACTGGGACCCCAGAACGTTAGTCAGGAAGGGGGGGTGAAGCCAACTCCGCTCAGAATCGGTCCCCAGACCCCTCCAGGGGCCCATCTGGTGCATTGTTTCACCCCAGATCCGTTTTTCACGGTCCCAGGGTGCCGAAAACGGCCCCCGGAGGCCGAAAAAGAAAGAACACCTTCCCGAACCCAGCGCCTCGAACCTGCCCGCCTCGAACCTGCCCGCCCTTCCTGCTGGCCGGAACCAATGCTGGGCCACCTCAGACCCCCAGCCGGCTCCAAGACGTGGTGCCAAAATACCTGGTGCAACCCACGCAGTGCAATCTATGGAGTGCAGGTCAGGGCTGGACCTGAACGTTGTTTTTCGTTTTGTTTTCGTCTTGTTTTTCGTTTTGCTCGACCTGTTTGCCTGTGCCTCCCTCCAAAACGAAAAACAAAACACAGCCGAAGTCCAGCAGAACAGCGTTGTGGTCCAGCCCTGGTGCAGGTAATGCAGGGCGGGGCCCTGCGGGCGGGAGCCCGCGGCGCTCCAGGGCTCGCAAGCTCGCGCCCTTCGTGGGCGGGGCCGAACTGCGCGGGGCCCAGCGCAGGCTTGCAAAAAAATGAAGGATTGCAAAAAAAAACAGGATTGCAAAAAAAACCCAAGGATTTGCAAAAAAAAGAAGAAGGATTGCAAACAAAAAACCGAAGGGTTTGTTTGCAATCCTGTTTGCAATCCTTTGTTTTTTTGCCATCCTTTTTTGCAATCCTTCGTTTTTTTGCAATCGTCCGATCGAGCCAGTGCTTGGCAGAGTGCCAGGCGCGACCGGGCTACCTCTGAAGAACCACTGCTGGTGCCCGAGGGACGAGCGCACGAGGGCGTCCTCTCATGCCAGTCGGCTCGGCAGCGGGTGCACGAATCTTGGCTCGCCTGGGCTCGCAGCGAGACCCGACGACACGCACAAACATCCGAGCCCCGCACCAAGCATGGGAAGGGCCCCGTGGGCGGGGCACTCTGGCAACCGCACGTGTCTCACTTGCCACGCTGTACCCAGCACTGCATTCGAAATAACAGGTCCTACAAGGCAGTTTTTGATACATCGGATTTTTTATCGGATCTTTACTACATGATTAAACTATGAATAATTTTACCCATGAGCCCATCGTTGCTTTTAATACCAGATCCCTGCATTTTAATACATCATCCGCACGCGGAGCATGTATTAAAACGGCACTGTAGGTGAGAGGGGACATCACGAGGATTGCATCAGAACGAAAGGGGTGACCGGCTCGGGATGGCTGGGTGCTCGTTCTGGGGACCTTCCTGGAGCCACTCGCTCCACTCGTGCGTCGAAGCTGCGTCGAACGTCAGTCGATTTGGGTCGACCCTGAGTCGAACCTGAGTCGAACTTGAGTCCAACTTGAGTCGAACTTGAGTCGAACTTGAGTCGAACTGAGGTCGAACAGATCCGCTAGGTGGGCTCCAGGAAGGTCCCCGAAACGAAATGAAGGGGCCCACAAACACACAAATAAATACACACAAATAAAACAAATCCCCATATTTCCCATATTTTCTGGGTTTTTGTCTTCCCCACCACTTCCCATATTTTCCCATATTTTCCTGGGAATCGACGATTAATTGTGTCTGTGTGTTTCTTCCCCTCCTGACGAAAGGGGTGACCGGCTCAGGATGGTGGTCGGCGCTGGGCCCCCGAGAGCGAAGCCACGCGACTCCTGGGCAGGGTGGGCCACCTCCGGCCCCCAGCGCCTGGCGATCGATAGGCCCTTCTAGGGGGGGCACAGGGGCGCCAACAGACCTACTCCATGGAGGCCTTACCAGCCTGCCGATTTCCGCCGATCCGACTTCTGCCGATGCCCGCCGATCCGATTCATGTCGGTCGCCGATCCGACTCATCGATTCGACTCTGGGCTCTCCTGCCCCCGCCGAGCACCTTGCCGCAGACATCCTTCGAACCCTGAGCCCCAGCCGGAGGTTCACAGGCCTGGCCTGCAGGGGCAGGGTTCACATACGGTTGCCTACTCCAGATTTCGTAATCAAGGGAGGGGGGTCTCATTTCGGGGGGGGTCTCTTCCAGGCTATCTTGGAGGGCCTGGGGGGGTCTGGGGGCGATGTTTTGGAGGGTTCTCCCACGGGGGAGGTCTGGAATGGCTTGTCTTGGAGGGTCCAGACCCCCTCCCTTTTATTACGAAATTTGGAGTACCTCGCTTTTGACCGCCCTCGCTTCCAAGAGACGCCAAGCGACGCCAAACTGCGGCCTGCGCTGGTCAGGCCGCTTGACGAGGAGGCGCGTGGTATGACTTGGTTTTGCCTGGAAGCGAACGCGGGGTAGGTAATCCACGCTCTGGGGGTAGAAGAATTCCCCCCCCGGAGCATGCCCCCTCTGACGTCATTGGGCTCTTCATAATGTCACGCATACGCCCAGTAAACGGGAGTCCTGCCTGAGAGATCGCGACAATCTGGACGCCCAGGGCCTGGACGACGACGACGACCACGACGACGACGACGACGACGACGACGACGACGACGACGACGACGACGAGGACGAGGACGAGAACGACCACCACGACGACGGACGACGGACGACGGACGTCGGCCGTTGGGGACGATCCGGGCACCCCCGAAAGCCCCGGGGCGAGGCGCAGCCGCTGGAGAAAGCGCCCTACGGAGGCTCGAGAGCCGCCGAGGCCCGACGAGCACACACGATTTGAAGGGGCCCACGAGCACACAAAGAAATGCATACAAATAGCAGGAGTCCCCATATCTTTCCACATCTTCTGGGCGTTTGTCTCTCCCCCCCCACGTCCCATATGTTCCCATATTTTCTGGGGAATCGACGATTCATTGCGTCTGTGTGTTTCTTCCCCTCCTGAATGATGACCTCACACGTTGAAGCCGAAAACCTCGAACCTCGAGATCGCTTCCTAACGCTGACCCCACCAGTTGCTGAGCCTGAGCGAGGGTCAGACATTGGCCCCTGGCCCTCTCCTGGTGTGCCCTCTGATTCGAATTCCGAAGCGGATCCAGCCGCGACCACGAGGGCGTCCCAGGATCAAAAACGGCCAGAAAGCAGAACCTCGATCCTCGAAGCTCGAACCTCGAAGCAGTGAGCCTGCCCCCCCCTGGCGTTGCCCCTGAGTTGACGGGCGAAGAACGGTATAACATAAACTGTTTCGCCGTCGGGACGCTTGTCCCAGGGCGGCTGAAAGGTTTACACCCCTACGGTGGCACGTCAAGGTATACACTTTCCAGTCGCCCTGGGACAGGCACCCCATGTGACGGGAAAACTTAGTTTGTACCGCTCCTCCCGCTAACTGAGGGGCGAGGGTACTCCAGACTTCGTAATAAAAGGGAGGGGGTCTGGACCCTCCAAGACAAGCCATTTCAGACCTCCCCCGTGGGAGAACCCTCCAAAACATCGCCCCCAGACCCCCCCAGGCCCTCCAAGATAGCCTGGAAGAGACCCCCCCCGAAATGAGACCCCCCTCCCTTGATTACGAAATCTGGAGTAGGCAACCGTATGTGAACCCTGCCCCTGCAGGCCAGGCCTGTGAACCTCCGGCTGGGGCTCAGGGTTCGAAGGATGTCTGCGGCAAGGTGCTCGGCGGGGGCAGGAGAGCCCAGAGTCGAATCGATGAGTCGGATCGGCGACCGACATGAATCGGATCGGCGGGCATCGGCAGAAGTCGGATCGGCGGAAATCGGCAGGCTGGTAAGGCCTCCATGGAGGAGCCGAAGCCCATATCGGAATCCGAGATCGCATCGGATCGGAATCGGCGTCCGTCGAACACGAACCGAATCGAGCCAGGGGAATCGAGATGAGCCCCTGTGAAGGGACCCTGGGACACACAAATAAAGAGACACAAATAACAGGATCCCCCATATGTTCCAGTATTTTCTGGGTTTTTGTCTTCCCCCCACTTCCCATATTTTCCTATATTTTCCCGGGAGTCGACGATTAATTGTGTCTGTGTGTTTCTCACCCTCCTGACCAACGTCGCTTGGACCCGCCGGGGTAGGGCTCGCAAGTGGCCGCAGAGGGGGCGCCCTCCGGCTGCACTTAGGTCGGGCATGTCCTCCTACAGGCGGATGTGCAATGAAAAATGCAGAAATAGTCAGAAATAGTCAACAAGTATTAGAAGTAGTCAAAAATATGAGAAACATTGTCCCCAGACTGTGCTTTTAGCTATTCGTGGCTCTTCCTCCCGTAGAGGGGCGTGCCCGACCTTAAGGCTGCACGCAGGGAGCGAACCCAGGCAGGAGCGACCTTTGGTGCGCCACTGCCGGGGCCCGCGGGGGGACGAAGCGTAGCGCACAGGCCGCTGCCCTCGCATCGCATTCGGCCCCCTGGGGCCCCCACGGTGCCAGCACCCGAAAGGTCAGGACCCAGACATGATTGTGTTATGTCGGGCCTGTCCCCCTACAGGGGGATTTTCGACGATAAATAAAACATACCCCAAAAATAGTCAAAAAATACTCCAAAAGTAGTCTGGGGGGTATTTTTTGAATATTCGTGTTGCCTTTTGGAGTATGTTGGGGGTATTTTCATTTGTTCGCCGAAAATCCTCCTGTAGGGGGACACGCCCGACATAATGATTGTGTCGTGAGAGAATCAGGACGGCACATTTGTGGCCACTTTCGGCCTCGGGGGGCCCTCGCCGGGCCTCGGGGCCGTCAGAAAACTACTCGGGATGGACAACCGGCCCCGGGGAAAGGGTCGGGACTTCCAGGGACACCGTATTGAAAACATCGGGGCGTCGCATGTCTGGAGATCATTCAGCATCAAATCGGTAGATCGGATCAGGATCAACATGTGCATCGGACCGGGATGCATCGGCACGGAATCAAAATCGAATCGGATCGGCTGCGCCAGGATGCACAACAACGCCATACAAGCACTGGGCCGCGTCGGATCATCAAGATATCGGAATCGAATCGGATCGGGCCGGCGGGAATCGACACCGAATCGGATCCATCGGGTCGAAATGGATCATGAAGGTCACTCCGGCGACAGGCCACGCCTGCATACATTGGCGGCGAGCTTAAGCGGGCACGGGGAGGGGGGAAGGCTTCTTGGAAGAGGGGGCTGCCTCTTAGAAGGCGCGGGCCCTGAATCCACACAGGGCCTGCGCCTTCTAGGAAGCAGCCGCCTTCGAAGAAGCCTTCCCCCCTCCCGGGCCTGTCCCCCTACAGGGGGATTTTCGACGGAAAATCAAAAATACCCCCAGAATAATCAGAAAATAATCCAAAAACAACCTGGGGACTATTGTTGTTAAGATGTGTTGGCTTTTTTTGGGTATTTGTGAAGGTATGTTTGGAGTATGTTTGGGGTATGTTTGGGGTATTGTTGGTGTACGTTTGGGATATGTTTGGAACATGTTTGGTTTTTTTGTTTGTTTCGTTTTCTCGTCGACAATCCCCCTGTAGGGGGCCACGCCCGACTTAACCGTACCCGCCTCTGCGCGTGGCCGAGACGGGCCACCCCAGAAATCCCGACGTCATGAGTTGCTCACGACGTCGACCCTCCAAGGCCTCGACCCCTCGTCCTCCTCCCCCTCCTCCTCCTCCTCCTCCTCCTCCTCCTCCTCCTCCTCCGCCTCCGCCTCCGCCTCCGCCTCCGCCTCCGCCTCCGCCTCCGCCTCCGCCTCCGCCTCCGCCTCCGCCTCCGCCTCCGCCTCCTCCTCCTCCTCCTCCTCCGTTCCTCCTCTCCTCCCTCCTCCTCCCGTTCCTCCTCCTCCTCCTCCTCCTCTCCCCGTTCTCCTCCTCCTCCGCCTCCTCCTCCTCCTCCGCCTCCGCGCCTCCGCCTCCGCCTCCGCCTCCGCCTCCGCCTCCGCCTCCGCCTCCGCCTCCGCCTCCGCCTCCGCC